ATTGTTTGCTATATAAGATTATGTTATGTAAGTGACCCCCAGGACAGCATTATTTTTGACTCAATGTATATTATTTTTGTAACTATTTGTATAGAAGTTCACATGGCTACATGCTAAATGTGTTTTCCTATATAAGTCCACATCAACTCAAGAAGGATCAATTTTGACCCCAGGGGCATGATTTATATAGCTTTTGTAGAGGACCACAAGGTGATGTTATATTTCAAATATCTATGGCCCGTATTCTGAAAGTTAATCTCGACTTAAACTCAGATAAAGGTCACCTCAAGTAACGCTGGAGTAGACTTAAGGTAAGTAACTCACAATGTGTAGAGTGGTATTCATTTTGTTTACTTCATCTTACTTCTTGTGAGGGATACTTCAAAAGTTGACTGATCGGTTTTATTGCATAACATCACTCAATATACATTGCAAAAGTGTTACCATGTTGTTTAAAAAAGTGTGTTTTACCGAAGCGGAAAATTTTGTTAAAGAATTAATTATGTAAAAGAAAACAAAACAAAAAACGATTTTAAATATATGTTCGATAAAACAAAAGCATGAGGAAAAATTTTAAGAGAATTTAATAGTTTTCAAGTAGTTAATGACAGAATAGCAAAATAATGTTGAAAAGCCTGAAAGACTGGACGAAAGTAGTAACAGGCTTCTGGCAAGCATTTAGAACTCTCTTTTTTCATTTCAATGGCGTAAACTATATTTTGAAAGTAGCATCCAATTTTTTGTGTCAATAATTTTTTTTTTTGCAATACACAATTTTGTTTTCTTTTTTTATCATCTTATTATGTTTTTAAAGGCCCATTATGCATCAGAAATTCTATCATTTTTCTTTCTCAAAATTTCAAGTTTTGGAAAGGGTATAATCATATAATATTATCATTTTGTATGGAAGTCGTTTACATTTTTCTACCATCATAAGACATAACTGTACCTTAAGTGCAACTTTAAATAGTTTTTAATTATTTTTCTAAAGAATTAAAATAGAAAGACTGTTTTATTTAAATCTGCAAATATAGAATATTAATCTTTTCAATTTCTTAAATCAAATTTAATGATTTTGTACATAATACCGCCAAAAAAAACAACAACAACAAAAATAAACAACCAAACAAATAATCCTGTTTGATTTTGATGCTGAAATACCTGTGAAACATTATACAGCTGTAGTATTAACCCATTACCAGATATATACGCCTTTCTACGCCTTTTTCACCCCCCCCCATTTTTTGCTTCGTCAAATGGTGAAAAAATGCCTTATTAAGGCCCCAAAACACTTGTTTTTGTTTGAGAAATGTTGTTTAAAAAATTGACCACTTTTTCGGCGCGGCCCCCCATCCAAAAGATACATCAGGGGGTTGCCAGAAGGGGGATGTGGATGTGCCCCCTTCTGTTTGGGGGGTTTCATCGCCAAGAAAATTTTGGACTTGTGGGAGGCTAAAAATGGCCCCAGGTCGATCATAAGGTAACGTGTAACCAATGCTGAAAAGCCTTTGACTCTATCTCGATCCATTGAGAAGTGGCAGCACTTTGAAATCAATTTGGATGGAAAAATTCAACGCAAAATAGTGATTTTTGGCAATTTTGAGATGTCCCCTAGTTGCCATGGTAACAGGAAATTTCAGACTGAGCATGTTGTTACAAAGGAAATGGTCCAGTCAACATTTGTGCCAAGTTTGATTAGTATTGAAGCAGTTTTTATAGTTTTATAGCAACCTGAACTTGTAACGGGAGACTTTTCAATGAAAACAGCCATTTTTCACAAAATGCTCATCGGGTAATGGGTTAAAGTTCCAAACTGGATCTTAGTAATGAAACACCATATTCGTTTAGTAAAGTGTATTTTAAATTAATCATGCTAAACAAATGTTCAAGATAATTTGTTTTGCTACGTGGATTTTTTAATTTTTTTTTAATCAAAATACTCCGGCGACATCAACGTTTACTTTATGGCTGGTTATTCATTACGCCATAAGATTTTTTTCTGTCATGTTTCCTTTGAAATATCTTTAAATATATGGATTCGAAATTCTATGTCAATCCCAAAATGATATAACTTCTATCTAACTGTTATTTTTAATATTTCACAAACAAAACAATAAATACTTATAACTAAATGGCATCTGTTTAACCTTTTACCCCATGAGCATATGGCTGTTTTCATTGAAAAGCCCCCTGTTACATAAAACTATGAACAAGAGCTGTCGGTAGGACAGCAACGCTCAACTATTCTTAGTGCTTGATAGTAAAAAAAGCCTTGATTAAAAGGTAAAATTTTCTACATAAAGAAAAAGGCAAAATTTTTCTTTAAATCCATTGTTACAGTTATAGGCCTTGGAGAGAGTCCTATTATGCTCTCAAAGAAGAGTATAAAATTTCAACATGTATCAAAGCCTTATGTCAATGAATTTTGAAAATATTTGAGGTATTTCAAAAATTTTAAAGTAAATTCTAAGTCGAAAAAGGGGCATAATTCTGTCAAAATGCTTGATAGAGTTACCTCCTCCTGTCTACAGGTTGGGGTAATGATGGTGAACAAGTGTACAAAGTTTCAAAGCCATATGTCAATGGACTTTGAAAATATTTAAACTATTACAAAAACTTTAACACAAGTGGTTACGCCGACGCCAACGCAGACGCCGACGCTCAGGTGACTACAACAGCTCTACTTATTCTTATAGAATAGTCGAGCTAAAAATGCTTCAATACTGATGAAACTCGGCACATACATGTATGTTGACTGAACAATAACTTCTGTAACAACATGCTCAATCTTATATTTCCTGTTACTGTGGCAACAGGGGGACATCTCAAAATTGCGAAAAATCACTACGTTGCATTGTTTTTTTCCATCAAAACTGATTTTAAAGTGCTGCAACTTCTCAATGCAATGAGAAAGAGTAAAAGGCTTTTCAGCGTTGGTTACACATCACCGTAAAATGGACCTGAGGCCATTTTTAGCCTGTCATATGTCCAAAATTTTCTTGGCGATAAGGGGGACTTCCCCCCCCCCCTTCAAACCGCCAAACAGCTCCTTTTGGCAACCCCTGTATGCCGAAAAAGTGGTCATTTTTTTTAACAACATTTCTCAAACGAAAAACAGTATTTGGGGCCTAAATAGGACATTTTTTCACTGTTTGAGGCCTCAAAAAGGAGTCAAAACACGTGTTTATGAGGGAAAAGGTTAAAACATAAATATTTACATAGACCTATATTTTGACGCATATGACAAATCATCCAAGGACTTGAGTCCAGAATCATCGACAGTCACATTGACAATCACAGGAACAGCAGCTGCTGTTTTTGTGGATAAAAGGAAATTCGAGAAATTTCCAACTTGAAATCTTATAGCTGAATAAACTACTACTTGTATCATTCCAGGTATAAAATGTGCACATTCCTCGAAAATCAAAATTTCTGATAAAATTCAACTTCTGACATAAATTTAATGGGATCATCTCTATCACTAAATATCTGTTTTTAAAGATTTATTTCCTCTCAAAATACTGTCAGTTCGTGTATAAGATGCACGTAAATGTATATGGGATGAAATTAATTCAAAATCAATACTCAAAACTACATTGTATTCAGTATTACTTAATTGGGGACATCTCAAGGTAGCCCCCTCCTTATCTCACAGATTATCAACTTTCCCGAGTTTACTCGACACTTACTTTATAACCTGAATACAATTTTACTGAAAGGTGAGGACAGTCTTGACCGTTTGGCAATTATATTGGATTTACTCAATGTGTGTGAGTGTAAGTATCGATTCTGAATACAGGCCTAAGCTCTGGACATTTTAGTTTTTAAGGACAGATTTCTAAAGAGTCCTTTTTTAAAGTATATTTTAAGCTCTTGTAATCTACATATGCATCAGACTGACACCATTTTAGTGTTGCAAATCAGCTTATTAAACTAGCCTATTTAGTGGGGTAACTGGCCTATGTTGGCCAACAGCAAGTTTCAAATGTTAGCCAAGATCTGTTGTTTCTGGAATGGATATTCATTTGACCCAACCCCAACGCAAAGTCGAGATATCCAAGATAGCATCAAAGATGGCCACAAATCGTTAAATATTCTAGAATATTTATGTGATTTCCGTTTTGTAAATAAATTGAAAGTTTACATGAAATTTCTTACTATTAAACAACCCATGCTTTAAATTTCAATATCTTTGCTTTTTTTTGGTTTGGATTAACAGTGCACCAACAAAGTTTTGGTCATATGGTGTCAAAACCAGGAAAGATGATTTTGGTTAATAAGTTATTGCAATTTTCCTACTTCCGTACCATTTTGTGTTAGTGTGACCCCTTTACACAGACTTAAGGATTAAATACATACATGTACCTTAAGTATATTATCAGACATCAAATGTTTTATTTTTATAATTTAATGCCTTGTAAAAATATTAAAGTCATTAGAGAAACTTGATATGTGTTTGTATTTTGCTACAAAAGAAAGAATACATTTTCTCACTTAGGATTATAATATTAGTTTAAAATGACTTTGCATCATAAATTATGTCCGAAATAAATTTCTGAATTTTTCTATTTGATTTTTCTTGACAAATACATAAAATTAAATACATAAATCATGTTATTACCTCACATACATGTATAATGTTATATGTGTAAGGGCTGGGGGCCTGATTATACAATAATCTTTTGAATTTAAATTCAAGTTTTCATCATCTAATTTTAATAGTATCACCTTTCCAAAATCAATTAATCTAACGTAAATATTGTCATTCCATATAATCAGTAGAATCTATTTGCATCTTCTAAGAAATAGTGGTTGCGGTACAATTTGAAGTTTGGTCATGGGCCAACCTGATGTTTAGGAGATGTTGATTAAACAAACTGTGTATGTGACAAGCACTAACCTCTGTAATTAACATTTAGACTGATCTAGATAAGATATCACAAAATTAACTACACAAGGTGTTGACTTTAATGAACTTCAGATAAAATATATTTTCTTACCACATATCTATACCAGTAGTTTGTTTTTTAGAACCTAACAACAATTCTGGTGCTCTGTACCTGCAACGCAATAATACAAAATTTACTGGTTTATGTCAGTTAGATAACACATTCAATTATTCATTCAATAAATCAATCAATCACTATCTCACAATAAATCAATCAGTGAGATAAAATCTATATGACCCAGCATTCATTCATTTACCTCACAAAATAACAGTGAAATAAAATCTATATAATCTATATACCTGTAACCCATCATTCACTCATTATCTAACAAAATAACAATCAGTGAAATAAAATCTATATAACCCATCATACACTAATTATCTCACAAAATAACAATCAGTGAAATAAAGTCTATATAACCCATTATTCACGTATTATCTCACAAAATAACAATCAGTGAAATAAAATCTATATAACCCATCATTCACTTATTATCTCACAAAATAACAATCAGTGAAATAAAGTCTATATAACCCATCCTTCACTTATTATCTCCCAAAATAACAATCAGTGAATAAAGTCTATATAACCCATCATTCACGTATTATCTCACAAAATAACAATCAGTGAAATAAAGTCTATATAACCCATCATACACTTATTATCTCACAATATAACAATCAGTGAAATAAAGTCTATATAACCCATCATTCACTTATTATCTCACAAAATAACAATCAGTGAAATAAAATCTATATAACCCATCATACACTAATTATCTCACAAAATAACAATCAGTGAAATAAAGTCTATATAACCCATCCTTCACTTATTATCTCCCAAAATAACAATCAGTGAAATAAAGTCTATATAATCCAACGTATTATCTCTCAAAATAACAATCAGTGAATAAAGTCTATATAACCCATCATTCACATATTATCTCACAAAATAACAATCAGTGAAATAAAATCAATATAAACCATCATTCACTTACTATCTCACAAAATAACAATAAGTGAAATAAAAGTCTATATAACCCATAATTCACTAATTATCTCACAAAATAACAATCAGTGAAATAAAGTCTATATAACCCATCATTCACTTATTATCTTACAAAATATTAATCAGTGAAATAAAGTCTATATAACCCATCATTCACTTATTATCTCACAAAATAACAATCAGTGAAACAAGAGCCCGGTTTGAGCCGGGTGATGCTCCCCGAATAGGTTTTGGACACAGGAAAGTACACCTCTTGTAGTTTCAGAGTTATGTCCCTGGAAAAGTTCAAAGTGCAATAATTCCAAAATTAGGAAAGGCAGAGTTACTGTTCTTTCCACCGCACTTCTAATCACTGTTATCTATCAACTTACAAAGTTTCTTGTTGATATCTCTTATGGTTTCCAAATTATGTTCCGGACAAATTCAAAAAGTAAAAATAAACAAATGGCAATAACTCCAGAATAAGGCAAGGCAGAGTTATGATTCTCGTGCACTGCACATCTACCCATTGAGATACATCTACCTACAAAGTTTCATGTTGATATCTCTTATAGTTTTACAGCTATGTCCAGTACAAGATTTTTCTAAAAGGGGAGATAATTCAAAAATGAGGCTTAACAGAGTTATGTTTTTTTTGCACTGCACTTCTTCTCAATGAGATCTATCTACCTACAATGTTTCATCTTGATATCTTTAATAATTTTAGAGTTATGTTCCGGACAAAGTTCAGTGTTAAAATTAACAAAGGGCAATAACTCCAAAATTAGGACAAAAAGAGTTATTGTTCTTATGCACTGCACATCTACCCATTGAGATCTATTCACCTACAAAGTTTCATGTTGATATCTCTTATAGTTTTAGAGTTATGCCCCCGGACAAGATTTTTCTATAAGGGGAGATAATTCAAAAATGAGGCTAAACAGAGTTATGGTTCTTTTGCACTGCACTTCTTCTCAATGAGATCTATCTACCTACAATGTTTCATCTTATTGAACCTCACCCACTATTTCTTAGTAGATGCAAATAGATTCTACTGATTATATGGAATGACAATATTTACGTTAGATTAATTGATTTTGGAAAGGTGAAATTTTTCGGGGAGCATAATTAAGTCTATATACCCATCATTCACATATTATCTCAAAAATAACAATCAGTGAAATAAAGTCTATAATATAACCCATCATTCATTTATTATCTCACAAAATATCAATCAGTGAAATAAAGTCTATATAACCCATCATTCATTTATTATCTCACAAAATATCAATCAGTGAAATAAAGTCTATATAACCCATCATTCACTCATCTCACAACTGTCATTCAGTGAAATAAAATCTATATCACTCATTTATTTATTTACCTTGACAAATTTAATGGATATTTGGACTGAATCAGTAGCCTCTAGAGTGTTAGGATTTCCACAATTTTTGGGTCCTGTGACCTAGCTTTTCATCCGAGATGATCCATATTTAAACTTGTGCGAGCAATCACATGTACTATGAAAATACCCTGACCAAGTTTAGTGACAACTGAGGGGAAAATGTGGCCACTGAAGTATTAATGAACTTAATGTGGACAGAAAACAGACAACAGATGCTCCACCATTCAATCAGCGTAAAAACTCACCCTGTAAAAACTCACCCTGAGCAAGCTCAGGTCAGCTAATTAAATCAATTTTTCCCAAATAAAAATTAAAAATTTAAGAGATCTTACCATAGTGTTACAACTATTGGAGTCATTGCCTTATTTGGTAACTCATACTTCCTTGCTAAACCAAAATCAGCTGGAAAAAATATGAAAGTATCATTAAGGTTTATTCAAATTAGGCTTACAAACTCAGAAGTATTTTCTATTTCTTTCAGTGGAAATAGCAATTCATCTCAAGGAACAGAAAAATTTATAAGAAATCTTGCTATTCACTTGCTGAAATTTTGCATTCACAAGACTGAAATTTTGCCCTTTACAGACTGAACTTTTGCCCTTCCCAGGGCTGCAATTTTGCCCTTCCCAGGGCTGCAATTTTGCCCTTTAAAAGGCTGAAATTCTGCCCTTTCAAAGGCTGAAATATTACCCTCCACAGGTTCTCAGTGATTAGGTCTTGTCAATACACAAGTATTTGGCATGACCAGCCCACATGTCCGAGACATCTGACATGGCTGATGAACTATTTAATTTCTATTCTAATTACACTTAAACTCATAATATACTTATACAGTATTTGAAGTTTGACAAGACTAGCCAAGACATTCAGCAGTTGAAGCACTAAACCAGGATAATCATCTGTTTCCCTGTAAGATGTAACCCTAGCCTGCTGGCAGATTACCGCCCTGCAACCCAGCACAACCACGCCCAGGCATCGAAAAATATTTTCAAAGTCACTTGTCCCTTCTAAATACAATTTGCAGGGAACATTCTTCTACTCCACCTGCATCAAGTTCTCTTAAATTCTACTCGTAATTACACTCGGACAAGTGGACTTTTCGGCATCAAGTTCTCTTAAATTCTACTCGTTATTACGAGCGGACAAGTGAAATTTTCGATCTCTGACGCTCTGTGATCATCATCGGCACCAAATCAATATTCAGTCAATACATGTTTTGAAATTTTCCCTTTAAAAAAAAAAAATTATTGTTTTGTCCTGACTCCTTAAGATGGACAAACAAAAACTGACTTACCAATCTTTAAAGAGCCTTTATCTGTCATGAGTAAATTTGATACCTTTAAATCTCTGAAAGTGAAAAGAATATGACTAGTCAATATCATTCATAAGCATTGCTTCACCAAATAATTTCAACAGCCGAGCAGGAATTGAACCCAAAGCAGCGACACCAGTGAGAGGCAAGTGATTTCTTGTCAGTAATGGATGATCATATGCTCATTGGCTCATATAAGAACAAAATGTATCAAAAAAGTTCAATATAAATTATTCTAATGATCACCTATTTAACACAGAAGGACCAAAAGTGTGTGCTATTATGCAATAAAATCACTGTTAAATTCTATATGTAGACATCTGACCTAACCACATGTTGTTCCAATTTGCATCATTATATTACTTGGGCTATGCCCTCATGATATAATTCCTCACATTCAAACTCCAAACAGTCATTATATAGAACGATAAAATCAGTGATTTTTTTCTTTCTTAATAATAATTCAATGTTATTAAAAAAATTGAACAAGGGGATATGCTCCATCACATATTACATTGTACAAGGGTATGAAAATTATTGAAAGGATTTATTAATTCATACCTATGAATTATAAAGTTTTCATGTAAAAACCTGATACCTCGAAATAACTGCTGCATTATGCACTTAACCTGAAATTAAACAGTTTTTTAATTTGTGTTATTTTATTCACTTTATTGTTTTTTAATTAAAAAATCATATCAATTTTCATATAGTTTTTCTTTAACAAACAAAATGAATCATCAGACAACAGTTTAAGCATTCAAATTTTAGAAAGGGCAATGAAAGTCAGTGTCTATTCTAGAATTTGAAAAATGAGGGAATTTTTATCGAAAAATGTGCATTTATTACATTTGTTGATCTTTGTCTGTGTAAAAACTTCCCCCTGCCTCTGAAAAAATAAGGGTGAGTTCTCAAAATTATGAGTCAAACCCCACATCCCCCCTCCTAGAATAGACACTGGATAGGATATTATTTCCTAAATATTGGTTAAAAAGTCTGCCTGTCAATGTAAGGATATTAGGTTTAAGCTGTACTGTGGTCACAATCATGGTTCCTCAAATAATTAATAACATCAATACTACAGCACTGATTTAGCTAGAAAACAGATTCATCACCAGATCAGGTAAGACACATTGTGTATACGCTTTTTTCTTTCAATCAAGCTTAAAATAAATAATGTTTAAACTAAAACATAAAATGTACAAGATCAGATATTTAGCCTTTTGTTTGGCTGTTGGATGCAAATGATACAACCTATGCAACCAGAGAGGACCAAGACCAACAGGCACATTTGTGCTGTCTGATCATAGTCATCACTTTTAACTATCTATTTTGAAATATTTGCCTAACCTAAGTATGTTTATGTCCAGATTAAAAGATGGACAAGTCCATTTAAGACATTTAGCTGAGTGGTAAGGTTAAATGTTTTGAGCCAGTACGTACCTGTGCCTCTGAGAACGGAGACGGCATATTATCAATTAATGAAGCCAGGTCCTGTTCACAATATTCCATCACGAGAAATATTCTGTCAAGACTTTTACCCACAACTATCTCCTTCAACTGTACAACATTGTCATGCCGCAGATTGAGCAAAATGTTGATCTCTCTTAATGAACTGATCGGTATACCTGTATAAAGTAATTGTTATACCTGTGAAAATGATTGGTATACCTGTACAAAATAATTGGTATACCTGTACAAAATAATTGGTATACCTGTACAAAATAATTGGTATAAATGTACAAAATAATTGGTATACCTTGTAAAAATGACTGGTATATATGTACCTTCATATGTGTCTTAAGTAAAATTTTTACTCGTGTACTAAATAATAGGTTGAATAGTTGGGCTGAGATGTATGGTGTATATGTAGAAGCGCAAGCTGGTTTTAGGCAAAATATGGGAACAACGGATAATATTTTTGTTCTGCACGGCCTTATTTCTCACATGCTTAATCAGGGCCGACAACTCTTTTGTGCTTTCATAGACTTTACTAAAGCGTTTGACTATATTGTTCATGATAATTTATGGTATAAGTTGATAAAACTGGGACTACGTGGAAACATTCTAAATATTATAAAATCTATGTACACAACAGTTAAAGCAAGGGTAAAATATTGTAATAGATTAAGTGACCCATACGAATGTTTACTTGGTGTAAAACAAGGAGAGTGTTTATCTCCCTTTCTCTTTTCCATGTTTCTGAATGACCTTGAAGATGAATTTATAAAAAGTGATATTGAAGGTATTGATGTTGATATGTTTAAAATGTTCTTAATCTTATATGCTGATGATATTGTTATTCTTGCAAATAGTAAAGACGAACTACAAAAAGGTTTAAATGTTTTAGCAGATTACTGTGATAGATGGAAACTTTCAGTGAACACATCTAAGACGAAAATAATGATATTTAGAAAGGGGGGGATACTGCCTAGAAATTTGAATTTTTATTACAAAGAAAATTGTATTGATATAGTTAGCAAATTTACGTATTTAGGGATTGTTTTCACATCAGGGGGGTCCTTTGCAGAAGCTCAAAATACCATTGCTGGACAAGCGTTGAAAGCAATATTTAAAATGAACAAATACCTATATAAATTTGTTAATATTTCTACTTTACACAGATTTGATCTTTTTGATAAACTAGTTAGTCCTATACTCAATTATAGCAGCGAAGTCTGGGGTTTTATACATGGTAATGCAATTGAAAGAGTGCACATGCAATTTTGTAAACGTACGTTAGGTGTTAAAAAAACAACTCAGAATGATTTTATATATGGTGAACTCGGTAGAATATCTTTCAAGACAATACGATACTATAACATTATTAGATACTGGGTTAAAATATTACATACAAATGAGAATAAATTTGTCAACAAAGTTTATAATTTATTAAAAAATGATTGTGAAAATTACCCAAATAAAACAAATTGGTGTTCATTAGTGAAAAATCTTTTATGTACATTAGGTTTTTATGATGCTTGGTTAATGCAAAGTGTTGGTAATACTGACCTGTTTTTATTTTATGTGAAACAACGTTTGAAAGACCAATTTGTACAAAACTGGTCAAGTAGATTAGATAACTCTAGTAGAGCTATATTTTATAGACATATTTCTGTTTTTAAGTTTCAACCATATCTAAATATTATCAATGTTGAACGGTTTTGTAAAGATCTCACTAGGCTAAGAGTATCATCTCATAGATTGCATATAGAAGCAGGTAGATGGACTAAACCAAATAGTACTCCTTTAAATGATAGAAAATGTTTTTCATGTAATGTCTTAGAAGACGAATACCATTTCATATTAGAATGCAAAGTATATAATGATTTAAGAAAAAGTCTGATACCGCCTTATTACTGGAGACGTCCAAATATGCCAAAATTCATTGAATTATTAAATTCTGAAAATGTATGCACATTACGTAAATTAGGAAAATTTGTAAACAATGCTTTTACACTAAGAAAAGAAAGATTATACACAAATAATTAGTAGTCATTATTGTTAAGTTGATTATATTTATCTTGTTTTGAATAAGTGAAATTTTAGTGAAATGGATAATTATGTCAATAATATATATGTAAATGCATAGTTAAATTATTTTGCTTAATAATTTTGAATTAGTGAATGCTTTAGTTTAGAAGATATACATGTCAAGGATATATATTTGTAAATGTATAGCTAAATGATTCTTAAGATTGTGCGTCCTTTTTAAATCGAACCACTCTCTATAGCTAAATTTACTGACTAATAGTTATGTTGTTCTTGTGTTTTGTTTCGGCAAGAACAACATACACGTACTCGAACAAGTATAAATATAATTTCATATTATACAGTATATACATCCGAGTTTTTGTCAAAATTCATTTAATTTCGTTTTTAAATTGATTCACGTTCTATATCTAAATTTACCGACAAATGGTTATGTTTGTTCTTGTATTTTGATTCGACAAGAACAGCATATACATACTCAAGCAAATATGAATATAAATTTATATGATGCATTATATTATATACATGTATCTTATCAAATTAACTCAAAACAATGTATGAAATTCACTTCTCTGTAAGTTTTGCTAGACAGTGGTAATTTATTTAACATTAGATAAATTTGAATGTCCTTTTGTTATGATGTTCATTTTAATTGATGATATACAATTTTGTGTATACCTTCTCCATTTACACATGTTATTGTATGTATATGCTTTACACTGTCTTGCCATGTATTATGTATCTGTTTATCCTCATGGACCATTTGGTCCAATGGAATATTGAAATAAACTTATACTTATACTTATACTTATGTACCAATAATTGATAACCTGTAAAAATGATTGGTATACATGTACCAATAATTGGTATACCTGTACAATATAATTGGTATACCTGTGAAAATGATTGGTATACCTGTGTTGATTGGTATACCATTCACTTAACTGGTACACTAAGTAAATTTTGATCTTTCTAAATGAACTTTTTGGTATACCTGTTTCAAATAATTGGTATAACCTGTATGTTGATGGTATACATTTCGGTTAACTGGTAAACTAGATAAATGTTTCTCTCTAATAAAGAACTGATTGGTATACCTGTGAAAATGATTAGTATACCTGTGAAAATGATTGGTATACATATATGGTGATTGATATACTTTTAAAGTCAAATGGTATATTAGGTTGATTGGTATAACTGTTTAATGAATGGTATACCCACAAGTTGGTTGGTATACCTGTAAAATGATTGATAGTCATATAAATTGACAGGTATTCCTGTAGAATGTTTAGCATAACTTTAAGGAGACATCCAGCAATATATGGTACCACACAAATATCATACAATCTTCTTCACAATTTTATCATCATTGTTACATAGTTTTAAGATTCACACTAAATCCTAATTGATCACTTTTTTCTCACAGAATATCCAAAGAAAGTACATTTTATTGTTATTATATCTTACAGACCTCTGAAAATCATATTCATTGGTCAAGCAAGGCACGAAAATGGGAGAAAAGTGATCATAAAATGTGCTATATAATTTTATTTTGTACTCTTTAAATCTCATTATAATAGTAGACTTGACTAAAGGATCTGGAAAATGGTGTAAAGTGGAATGGATAGACAATATTATTCTAAGATTTAGATATTAGGTGCCCTTGATATTTATATATATATATCTGTTAACTACACAATCCTGTTGTATTTGTCATTTGACAAGTTCAATATTCACTGGAAGGATATTCAGAATGTATAAGTTAAAGCTTAAATGACTGTCTGGTCATATGACAGTACTGATATTGTCTTTGTTATTAAAGGGAAAATATCCTGCTACTTTTTTACTATTAAATATTTCTTACCACTTTTTTCGTGATGTAGTTTTACTCTTTTCAAAGCAACAGTTGTACCATTTCTTGTATCCTTAGCTTTATCTAATAAAAAAAAAAAAGAACCAAAGTATGAAAAATTAAATGGCTGTCTCTGTAGAAATATAATTTTATAAAACTCTGTGTTTGTAAAGACAACTGTCATAAAACAATCATAACTTTAATAGTATCTCTATAAACAGCCTTTGCAAATTTATAAACACAGTAGAGGTCACATGGCAACTTTCTAGTTTTACTGGTGGAGGAAGACCTGAAGACCTCAATCACCAATGTTCCGTATGCTACCTGGATAGCTTCCTCATATGAAAGAATCAAAGCCCCAGGGGGATTCAAACCCAGATCTGTGAGGGGCAAAAGCTTTGAAGTCAACGATCTTAATCAAAGATCAAATGTTATTATTAACACAATAAATAACTTTTTGGTCTAAATAGCATTAACATTATCATTAACTTACAAACAACTCCATATGTACCCTCGCCTATCCTGGTTTCTTTTTGGAACTCTTGCACAGGTCTACATTTTCCAAACTAAAAATTGAAAGAACCATAATTGAGTGCAGTGACATTTTGATTCTAATCATTTTAACAATGTAAGTAAATAAAAGCAATTAAAGAACTGAGAGCAAACATAACATCTGTTTTTTTACTAGACAAAGCTTAGAATCGTACCACAGTAAACTAAAACTGTTAAGACTTATCTTTGTTTTCCCTCCCTCTTCCCATACCAGTTTGGCATATCAGTTTGGGTTGGGTAGGTAGGTTGATAAAATATTTTTTTCTAATATCAAAAAAAAATTTTTTTCTATTATATTATTTGGAGTTCAAAACAAGTTGTGAATGTTTAGCATCTGTTTATTATCCGCGCAGTCTGATCAGGATCCATGCTGTTTGCTATCAGTTCCTCTACTTGTAAATGAGTTGGTTAGCAAACAGCATGGATCCTGATCTTGGTCTGGATCCATGCTGGTCGCAAACGCACTATGTTGGTTTTTTCGTGAATAGGCTCATATCTTTTTTATTTTGCTAGACAATAAATTTTTTGGGGTAACCCACTGTGATAATTGTAGGTAGGTAGCATGTGGAGAAACAAACAATATTTTCTATAGGCCTTACATAGTGACATTTCTTTACTGTTCAATAAAATGTAGAAAAACAGAAGTCAGATGCCAAACATGCAACATATTAAACGATTAATTCATTTAACATGACCATATTTCTTTCACATAGCTTTTGATAACTTTATCATGAATTCCTAAGTCTTCTACAATATTTCTATTTTTAAGATGAATGAATCTAACCATGTAGTATTAACTAGATTATTATTACTTTAGTACTATTATGTGCTCAGCCCAATTCACAAGTACTCCACAGTGCTCATACTTACTTAAGTACTATTTCTATATTACATAGCACTATTTTTACTCAGCCCATTTTTTCAATGTTCTTATATTTACTCATGTTTTAAATTTAATACTTGAACATAAGTCAAACTAGAAATGTGTCCCAGCATTTCACTATATTGTCAATCTACAGACAGCATGATTGTTGAAAAAGAGCAAATCAAAGAAGTGGCATAGAAATGATAATTTTCATAACAAGATTACTGGTATGTACTTTCAGGGGAAAAAAAAGGTTATGAACCGCAATGGCCAATGGGTCATGAACATGCTGATGATGCACCCGCACATTACACCATTTCACCAACACTGGTTACATGTAGTTGCATGAAGCACACTCAACAGAATTTTAAAAACTACAAGCTTACTTTATAAACAACCTTACTAATATATCTGATAAAATTACACAAACTGAAACAATGCTAATTTATAATGAGACAATCCTGTGGGTCTTACCTGATTAGCTTCTGGAATATCCATCCACTTCCCCGTGAGAAACGAAAGAAAAGCTGGTTTTTCTGTTGACTGGCCATCATCATCACCATGGAGATGTGATTTTGACATCTTCAAACAAAAAAAGACAATTGTAGCAGTTGACAAGTTAGCAACAATATCTATGAAAATAAATTGCTACTTTGAAAAATTAGATGACAGATGTATCATTAGACAATATCATGGTACTTGAATGTAAAAAAAAAAAGATAATTAAAATAACTTGAAAACTTTTAATAATATAACTTTCTGTAAAAACTCAGCTGGTAAAAACTCTTAAAACACAATTAGAAGTTTACTACAGTCGAGACTGCCTTAGCGACCCCCTGGTTTAAACGACTCCCTGCCTTATCCGACCTTGTTTCAGTACTCCCAACGTATTTTCCTATATAAATGGTCTGAATTAAACGACTCCCTGTCATATGTGACAAGCGACCTTAATTGTCTGGTCCCAATGCAATGTTTTGTCTGATTTTAACGACTTTCACACCTTTTCAAATTATCCGTTATCCAGATAAAGAATACCTATTTTAACACCCAGAGGGCCAAAATAATTAAGTCCAATTATAATCCAGCACTGTAGCATAACGAAAGTCTACCACACCGCCTATCTCAATTACACAATTAGCGTGTATATACCGGTAAGATACATGTACCAGGTACAAAGTGACGTAGCCGTCTGTTCATGGAAAGCATGATGAAATCGAT